ATGATCTTTCGAAAAAGGCGGTGTTTGTTAGGAAACTCTACATATACCCATAATGGTGAAGGGTATCGTATAGTCGGCCCAGTCCGACTTTACTACTTTTCTTACTGGTTTTTAATTATCTCTTGCCTCTTTATATGAATTAAATTTTTTTCATCCGGACAGGCTGAAAAATTAATGTTTAAAAAAACCAGTAAGGAAAGTAGTAAAGTCGGTCTGGGCCGACTATATGATACCCTTCACCATTTTGGGTATATGTAGAGTTTCCTAACAGACACCGCCTTTTTCGAAAGATCATTGACATGGAATTGAACAAACTTGAATATGTGATATTTATGCTTTTCTGGAACATGTGCTAAATGCCATTTCATTCGGGTAAGTCTAGAGTCGTTTGCGTACAATGGGACAAATTTATGTAAATTCATTTAAAACCATCCAGCTAGCTTAAAACAAAACAAGCCACTTAATTTAGTACCCTATGACAAATTTCGTGCAAATCGAAAGATATATAGGGAATTTTGTACACAATTTACCTTAAATCGGACGAAGATATATATGGGAGCTATATTTAAATCTGAACCGATTTTCACGAAACTTGGCATACATCATTCTAGACCTTATTCATTACGCTGTGCCCAATTTCGTGCAAATCGAAAGATATATAGTGACTTTGGTACACAATTTAACTTAAATCGGACGAAGATATATATGGGAGCTATATCTAAATCTGAACCGATTTTCACGAAACTTGGCATACGTCATTCTAGACCTTATTCATTACGCTGTTCCAAATTTCGTGCAAATGGAAATTTATATAGGGACTTTGGTACACAATTTACCTTCAATCGGACGAAGATATATATGGGAGCTTTATCTAAATTTGAACCGATTTTCACGAAACTTGGCATACATCATTCTAGACCTTATTCATTACGCTGTGCCCACTTTCGCGCAAATCGAAAGATATATAGGGGCTTTGGTACACAATTTACCTTAAATCGGACGAAGATATATATGGGAGCTATATCTAAATCTGAATCGATTTTCACGAAACTTGGCATACATCATTCTAGACCTTATTCATTACACTATGCCAAATTTCGTGCAAATCGAAAGATATATAGGGGCTTTGGTACACAATTTACCTTAAATCGGACGAAGATATATATGGGAGCTATATCTAAATCTGAACCGATTTTTACGAAACTTGGCATACATCATTCTAGACCTTATTCATTACGCTGTGCCAAATTTCCTGCAAATCGAAAGATATATAGGGACTTTGGTACACAATTTAATTTAAATCGGACGAAGATATATATGGGAGCTATATCTAAATCTGAACCGATTTTTATGAAATTTTACACACATCATTCTAGACCTAATTCATTACGCTGTGCCAATTATCGTGCAAATCGAAAGATATATAGGGACCGTTTACATTAAATCGGACGAAAATATATATGGGAGCTACATCTAAATCTGAACCGATTTTTCCCAATTTCAATAGGGTTCGTCCTTGGGCCAAACAAATGAGCTGTGCCAAATTTCATCCAATTCGGATCATAAATGCGACCTGTACTTTGTTTACAATTTAACATCTACAGACGGACAGACGGACGGACATGCATAAATCGACTCAGAAAGTGATTCTATGCATATTCTCAAAAGGAACCATGGGTCTATCTTGATTATTTTTGCCTGTTACAAACATATGCACAAAGACATAATACCCTGTACCACAGTGTGGTGAAGGGTATAAAAACTAGTAATAAGCATTTTTAACAACTATCGACGTGGATTATCTTCGGATATGGATTATGATCAAATTTTAATTCGCGGTGGGAAAACTAGATAAATTAATTCTATGGGGATCGGCGATTCAACCACGAAGTCGTACAAAAAAAAAAAAAAAACGGTAATAGTGAGGCAAAAAATAATACCTGAATAAATCGACCATATGTGTCTTAGAAGAGGGCCCAGAAGGGGGTCATATGCCCACAGTTCCGATTGAGCAACGTAGAACTGATAATTCTGATTGTGGTACCACAATCAGCGCTTTTTTGTTCCCCGGAATTCATGGTTTCATTTCGCATATATTTTTCGCCAATTAATTAATTAATTAATCGAGAATTGCAAAAGTTCAAAACCCTTAATTATAAATATTCACATTTTCATTATAAAGCCAGAAGTATATATAGTAGCCCTCGTATACACAATATTTCTCCATTAATTGTTCATCCTCTGTTTTTTTTTATATTTTATAAAATCGAGACATTTGCCTCCTGAATTATTCTAAAGTCGTTGAAAACATTTTCCATAATATTAATAATTTTTGGACTCTTACAAAAAGCATTTCTATTAAATTTAATTAAACATTATTTTTATCATATTTTTATGTAATATTTAACACAAGGTCAACCTCATCATTTAGAAAATTATACATCCGAATCATTTTTATTTTTTCCCCCAGCTGTCCTTTGAATTCATTTGTTATATTCTTACAAATACAAATAAATACAACCAATTTATTTTGATCACTTTGTTGTCACCTTCCATGGAAATATCCAACAAAACGAAATACACAATGGCAAAAATAAAATATTTTTCGGAGAAAAAATAATTTTCCCTCGAAAAGAAAATACGAAACGTTATGTTTCCTTTTCTTGTAGTTTATGTTCATTTGTATTTTGCTTGTTTATTGGTACATTACGTGTGTGTTGCTCGTAATGGTCAATTTTGTGCGAACAATTTGTTTGTAATTTTTATGTGGATCCTACCTGTACCCGCATCTATGTTTTAGTTGAATACAAATTGTCCTTTGTGAATATGTTTGTAATGCAGTGATAAGTGTTTGCAAAATAAATATGAGAATTATGTGTATTTGTGTGTTTCGGAGAGAATTTTTGTATTTTAGGGAATATGGAGATGTTTAACAATATTGAAATATTTTTATACAAACGAGGTCTGATCAAAAAATTAATTGTTAAGGTCTGGTAAAAAATAAATCGGTAATTTATTCAACAATTCTTTTCATGTCTCCTTTATATGTTGTTGTTTTCAATTATCGAATAAAATCTATAGAAAGTACCTCGGGGTGGATTCGGCATTTTAAAGTGGGGCACATTCGGTCATATACAGATACTTTTAATATTATTTTCTTAAAACGTTTTTGAGTTTGTCTTTAAAAATAATCATTTATTATGGTTCGAAATTACATATATAAGACGAAAATGCGATAGAAAAAACTATTTTTGTTAGTGTGTGTGGCCTTGAGACGTCAACGTCCACAGCTAGAAAATATAGCCAGACTGATGGCGGTGATAATTACCAGGCTATGACTATGGTGCTTAATGTGTCCCATCAAATGCAGAAGTCACCCCAAAGCTATAATACCCTGACAACTATGTTGTCAGGGTATTATAGCTTTGTGCAGCCCAAAAGTTTGTAACGCCGCCAAATATTGGTCGTAGACCCACCTTTAAGTATACCGATCGTCATATCTCGACTAGCTGAGTCGATCTAGACATGTGTGTCCGTCCGTCTGTCCATTATAATTTTTAAACACGATACATGCCACAGTTATGGACCAATCTTCACGAAATTATGCATGTAGGATGGGTCCTGGCCAATGAAGACCCCTATTGATTTTGGGAAAGATCGGTTAATATTTAGGGGATGAAATGGACCAAATACTATTTTTTTCGGTTTTTCTGGTCGCTCCAGAGGCCGCAATAATGGCCCGAACATCGTGAAATTTTGCATGGAGAAGGGGATCGGGCCAAAGAATAAGCATGCCTGTTTTGATAAAGATCGGTCAATATTTAGCGGGTCAAATGGACCCTGACTTATATTCTATTCTGATAATGTGTAGTATTACACACATTAGAGGGCGGAAATGTAGAGAGACATTTTTCCTTGAGGTTACGATTATGTTCAAGTTAGACGCCAACTTTCGATGATGAACAGATGCTATTTCGAGGTTGAAGTGGACCGAAAACGCCTCAATTATCAAAAATTTTCCATGGAGGATGCGATCTGACCAACTATTCGAATGTCATGAAGCGGTCAATTTTTAGAGAATCAAAACTTTTTGTGTAAAATAAGAAAACTTGAGTGTTGTGGTGTTATTTTTTACTCCGGGAAACCATGATTCGGAAAAAATGCCGCAGAGGAACTGTTGACCTCTAATCGGTCAAGTGAGTGCATATATCGCAAAATATTATCCAAACTCAGAATATAGATCCACAGAAAGAGGGTCGATCCCATCCAACTATACTGCTCCGCTCACTGGTTTTCTACATAGAAATATACCGGGTTTCAAAAATCAGAAGTACCAAATTGTTGCTCCCTAGGTGCCGCCAAAAAATATAGAATATCGTAGATAACATAGGCCTGTAGTTATAATTTTATGCATAGGTGTATTCCAGCCAGCAAAACCCCGAAATGACAAATAAGATCCTTTTCAATTTAAAAATGCGGTAAAAATACTCAAAATACCGAAAAATGGACGGGACTTTTTTGGGGAATATATCAAAACATGGACATATAATGGTGATTTTTTGTACAGATGTATGTTAATCTTCAAAAGCCCGAAATTGAATTTAGAGCCTTTCCGGTTGGAAAATTTTGCTAACGTCCTTAAATTATCGATAATTTGTCGGGACATTTATATGAGAGCTATACTAATTTGTGAACTAATATAGCCCATTTGCAATACCAAATATCCTATGAGGAAAAACTTGTCGTTTCTTGTCGTGATCTCAATAGACAGACAAACATGACTACATCGATATAGATTTTTTTCAAATCATGCAAACGGAATGACAAATGTTTAGCATTAATGATCTCGCAAAACACAAACATTATCCTCCAAAAATTCTGGCTTATTTACTTACTTCCTTAGCTGGCTTGTGACAGAACATTTGTTCCATAAGCCGATCTTAAAAAAATATAACAAGGCGCATCGGTCTTTGCGCGGCCAACAACAAGTACCCATAGTTATAAGCCGTACTAGTACCAAATGTGTCCCCAAGTAATGCGAATGGAACCAATTGACACCTTTTCGTCCCCAAGTAAACGAAGAGGCGACAGTTGTGCATAAATAAAAAACCACCACCAAAAAACCAACCAACAGACAAGTTAAACGAACATTTGAATGAGATCTCTACGAACAAGAATCACTTTGAATAGTTTTTTGTTTAGATGATCAACAAAAAACAATGAACAGTTATTCTTGAGGAATGCACGTGCGTTTTGTTTGGAAAAAATCATTCTTATTTTGATCGTTGTAAAGTGAAGTTGCATTGTGAAAATTGTGTTAATATAAAGTGATTAAAATAACAAATAAAAAGGTAAGAATGAGTAGCAAAAGACAATTTAGACGTAGAGTAAAGAAAGAAAAGGAATCTTTGATTAAAAAAATTGATAATGTTGTCTCAGAGGTAACCCCACATAATTATTCTATTGAGGAACCTTCAGAAAATATCAGACCAATATCTCCACATATTTTAGTGGAAGAAGAAGACTTTAACCAAGCCGGGCAATTAAATTTAAAATTTGAGCAATGGTTTAAAAAACACAGACCGTCTAGAAATTGTGTGCAAGATCTAGTTTCAATTTTAAGAGAAGAAGGTGTTAGTATCTCTTTCAACCCTAATTTTTATTGTCCATCAAGGCCTTTAATAGAAAGTATTGCAGGTGGAACTTATATTCATATCGGGGTTAGATCACAGCTTTTAAAACTTTCTAATTGTATTTCTTTGCCTCAAAATATAACCATTGATGTGAATATAGACGGGCTTCCACTTTTTAAAAGCTCAAAAACTCAAATTTGGCCGATCTTAGTTAAAACTACAAATACACCTAAATGTTATGTTTTACCGGTTGGAGTTTTTTTAGGCAAAACTAAACCACAAGACCTGGACACATATTTACGTCAATTTCAATGGTCTAGAAATTGGAGGTCTCACATACACTATAAATATTCGTGCTATAATTTGTGATGCTCCTGCAAGAGCTTTTATAACCGGTGTCCCGTCTCATACATCACGATACGGTTGTGCAAAATGTACACAGGTTGGAAAAAAATAAACGGGACATTAACATACAGCTCAATATGCGATGTTATAATCAGTGATGAAGATTTCGCTTCTAGAAAATATACAAACTTTCACCAAACAAAATACCTTTCAAGAAATTCCCCTCTTGAGAGTATTGGTGTAAAAATGGTTACACAAGTTATATTAGATGTTATGCACCTAATAGATTTAGGTGTTGTGAGAAAATTCCTTATAAGACTTATAAATAATAAAAGTAATATTAAAATTTCCAAGGAAGCCATTTCGAACATATCCGAGTCCTTGTCTAATATTCGAAAATATAGCATTAAAGAGTTCTGTCGTAAACCCAGATCATTGGACGAATTATCGAATTGGAAGGCAACTGAATTTCGGCAATTTATTTTATATAACGGAATTATTGTCTTAAAGAATGTCGTACACGAAGATGTGTATTATATTTTTTTATTATTACATTGTTCGTATAGAATAATTTGTTGTCCAAAACAAAGACCGATAAATCTGGAAACTGCTCAAAATACGCTTAATATATTTGTTGAAAACTTTGCTATAGTATTTGGTGAAAATAGTATTTCATATAATGTACATTCCTTGCTACATTTGGAAAAATCTATTAATATAGTTGGAGATCCTACAAGTGGATCATCTTATCCTTTCGAGAACTACCTTCAAAAATTAAAGAAATATATAAAAAGTCCGAGGAACATTTTAGAACAAATTTATAGGTATTCTGTAGAAGAAACATTTGAACTAAATTCAGGAAATAGTACTCCAATTCTAAATGTAGAAAATAATAAATACATATTTAAAAATTGTACTCTAACTACACGTTTTCCAAACAATGCCGCCTACATAAGATCTTCTATTCCTATACAGATTGTAACGTTCCGCGATTGCCAAGAGGGGTTTTTATTGGGTCGCAGGTACACAAATCCACAAAGTTTTTTTAACGAACCCTATTCCTATACAGATTGTAACGTTCCGCGATTGCCAAGAGGGGTTTTTATTGGGTCGCAGGTACACAAATCCACAAAGTTTTTTTAACGAACCCTGTGATTCATTAGACTTGGGTATAAGCGTAGTGGACTCAGAGCCATCGTGCCGCGAAGAACTCTTTTCCATAACCGATTTAGAGTGTAAACTAGTAGTTTTACCCTACAATAGCAAACTAGTTATACTGCCTTTATTGCACACCTGCCTTTGAAATTTCATTGTCAGTTCATGCAACTCCTTTTCTTTTTATTAATTGGATTGTTAAATTAATTTTTTGTTATTATATACATGAAATTCATTTTCTTTAGTTTTTTTTAGTTTTTATTTTAAAATGGAAGAAACACCCAGAAAAATTAAACGTTTCAGTTCAATTATAAACAATGGTAAGTAATTAATAATCTTAAATAATTTCCTAATTAATTCACTATTATTATTTTTCTATTTTGCAGATGGTCTCAATCAAAAGTGCAATTGCGAAACTTTTGTTAAAAAGATGGAAAATGTGGAAAATACTCAAAAAGTAATTCAAGGTAAAATTATGTCATTTTTCTTAGAATTGTTGCAAATTGTTAATTTGTTTCTTTGTTTTCACTATAGGTCAGATCAAGGTTTTAGCTGATGCATTAGCTGAATTGAAGGTGATGGTGCAAAAATTACTTCGATCTCAAAGTGATGAGATACCTTTAACGAATAGGTTTCCCATCAGCACTGAGAAAGATCTTATTGATATTAATAACGACATCACAAGTGAGAATAAAGATCTATATGTAAGTATTTTTAAATTCTTTTCTTAGTGAAGACAGATTATATACAAATATTTTGTTAATTTTCAGGTTAAGATTATATCATCCATTATAAAAAGAGAGGGAATATTGAAATCATTAAAAAATATTATAGGTTTAAAAATTACTTACGAATATAATATTGACGGAAATCATGGAAAAAAAAGTTTGAAGTCCTTAAGCAATATATCTAACGTAATTTTAGGTAAGGTATATAAAAAAATATTACTATATTCTACATAATTGTATACATTAAACATTATTTTTTTGCAGATTCAATACCAGTTCAAGAAAATTCAGACACCCCTGAAACGCAACTGCGAAAAGCAATACAAGTACAAAAGAAACGATTTTTTAAACAAGTGAGTGCTGAGAGAAAAGCAGAATAGTTAATAAAATATTACCATTAACTTTATTTTATAAATATTGAATTTGTTTTGTTTTTATATTAACTATGTAAATATAGTTTTAAGAATCAGATAAACATGTGCCAATTTTTTGTGTTAAGTTTATATATATGTATTTATATGTATATATATTGAATTTAATTTATTTGTGTTTTTATAGAGTAACGTATATTTATATTCATTTATGTTTCAAATAAAAAATGTATTAAAACTAAAAATAATCATTTCACTAACAATAATTGGTACTGAACTAGTTCATTGGAAACTAGTTTAGAATCGGTCTGCTTATACTAGATAGGGGATAGTCAATTGACACTAGTACATGATTGTATACATAGAACTAGATAGGGGGTAGTCTGCTGACACTAGTATATGGCTGTATACTTGGAACTAGGTAGGGGTTAGTCTTTTGTCTCTGGTATATGACTGTAAACCTGGAACTAGTACAGTACCATCTACAGGTAATGCAAAAGGAGTCAATTGGTTACCTCGTATGACATCCCCATGTTAAAGTTTACAGTTGTTTGCACTGTGAGGGGTCTTAAGTGGAACTAGTTACTGTAACCCTAAGAATCGACGAGTATACGGTGCCGAACTAGTCCACATTGCTAGCGGGTAGTATCTGCGTCTTGCAGAGTGTGAGTTTGGCGAGAGGTGAGCTTGTTTTTAATTTGTTTTCTCAGCCCATAGTAGCATCTGCTGGCCAACCCTGTTGCCAACTGTTGCCAGCGTTGAACGTTGTACCTTCATACGTTCTTCAAGCCAAAGAGTTGCCACATAACTTGTTCTGCTTCGAAGCCCTTCTTTCTCGAACAACTTCTGTTGGAATTGCTCAAATTTTAAGATCCACAGGGTCGATTGCAGTTTTTTCGTGCTCATACGAACATATTTATGGTCCTGTGAATATCATATATATCTTTGCAGTCGTATTTATTAAAAATTGTTCATCCAATCGATTCAAGTATCTTATGATCTATTATCAAATCTATTATCATGCAATATCTCTTATATGCTGGTGGAATAAATGCTGAGAACAGAATTCCGATTTAAAGGTATAAAGTGCAACAAGCATAGTAGCTTTAAAAAAGGTTTAAGTATAGTTAAGTTAAAATCTTTATTTGGAGGCAATGTCACGTAAATTGTTTATACCAAGAACATTGAATCTAGGATTCGAGTCTTTTCGCTTGGAAAGTATTGCTACAAGCCTCAAAATTCCGAAAATATGGAGGAAGGCTATGTTAATAATTATACCCTGGACAACTTATATCCTAAACAACCCAGGAGATTGTAACGCCCCGAAATATTGGTCCTAGATCCACCGATCGTCATATATCGACTAGCCAAGCCTATCTAGACATGTGTGACCATGCGTATGTCTATTATAGTTTGCAGACATGATACAGGCCACAGTTAGCCCAATCTTCACGAATATTTGCATGCTTGTTCGGTTCGGGTCAAAGAAGGTTTCTATTGCTTTTAATAGTTATACCAATTCGTGAACCGATATACCACATTTGCAATACCAAACATCCTATGACAAATAGCAATGTCAGTGCAAAATGTATAAGGTCTATCTCAAATATTACGTTTTCTATCGTGATTTCAACAGACATCGACATAGAATTTTATTCTGATCATGCAAACGGTATAACAAATTTTTACAATCAATGATCTCGCAAATCATATTTTTTTAAAATTCTCGTTTATAGTTGTGAAGATTCATCATAATTATTCTTAAAAATTCAACACTTTTAGCATCGATGGGCTCTACGGCTTGTGCTTGTGGAGACCCTTGAAATCTTTTGATATATATATATATATATATATGGGGGTGGATGTTGAAGCTATTGAACTCGTACGTTACGTATGTTACAACACACAACCCAGAGTAACTGTGTAGAGATCGCAGAGTGCGAAACACACACTCTAGACGATCACATTCTTAGTGTTAAGTGTACCTAATTAGAATGTAAGTTGTAAATAAACACTCTGTAAATAGCAACCACACAAAGCGGACGTCTTTTATTTGACAAGCGAGCAGACAAGCCAAGAATAAAGTTCAACAGGTTATGGGCCCAGGAGAACTCTGAACGAGATAGTTAATCCAAGATCAACGCCGAAGGAAGAAAATATAAAAAGTGAATTAAATTGTGAACGCCCAGAACTACGCAGAAGTAAAGGGAATTGAAAGTGGATGCCCAGCGAATTTAAAAATAAATATTAAATTAAAAGTGCGTGGACAGCAAGAAGACATTTTTATTGCAAAACTGTGTGTCGGTTTGAAATTCATCGTGTGTCGATAGAAAAGAAATAAGAAACAATGTCGTCGATGTTCAACATTGAGAAATTGTCATAGGACAATTATGAATCATGGAGCCTCCAAATGAAGTCCGTCCTTATTCACCAAGATCTATGGGAGGTGATCGCCGAGGAAATGAGTGAAGAGAAAAATGCTGAGTGGAGGACAAAAGACGAAAAGGCGATGGAGACAATTATCCTCAGCATCACAGCAGTTCAGTTGTCGCACATTAAAAACTGCAAGACGGCGAAGGACGCGTGGAACAGTCCGTCCGAAATTCATCGACCAAAAGGGCCAATAAGAAAGGTATCTCTATTCAAGAAGCTGATTAGCATGAAAATGGAAGAGCACGATGCTGTGCAGGAGTACCTTTGCGAATTCACATCAGTCGTGGATAGATTGGCAGAGGCAGGTATAGAGCTGTGTGAAGATCTGTTAGTAATTATGATCCTCGCCAGTCTTCCCAGCTCATACGAGAATTTCGTGGTTGCGCTAGAGTCAAGGGACACTTTACCAACATTGTCTGCTCTAAAGGTAAAGTTAGCCGAGGAAAGTGAGAGAAGAAAAACGGCAATGGGCATCACAACAGAAAATTCCACAAAGGCATTTATGGCGCACAATAAATGGAACCCCAACAGTAAGAAATACAACGAAAATAGTGCAAATCCCAACAACAACAATAGCGTTAAACACAACGCACATCGCAGAAATCACAACAACAACAACAATAGAAGAAATAACAACGCAAATAGGCAAAGTCCCAACAACAACGCAGGTAGCAGGTATAGAGGATCCCGCACACACAATAACAACAACTGCTTCAACTGTGGCGGCAGAGGCCATTACGCTGCTCAATGCAAAAAGGCAGAGCAAAAGGGTGAGCATGCGTACACAAGTTTAGCGGCGATCGACAACAACAACGTCAATAAAAAGGTCTGGTGTTTAGATAGCGGTGCTTCCTCACACATGTGTTGTGATCGAAGTTTGTTTTCGACTTTTGAGGAGCATCGAGAAGAAATCTCCCTAGCTGGCAAGAAGACAATTGAAGCAAAGGGGAAGGGGAGAGTGCGGATCAATGAGGGTGACGTTGTGCTCAATGATGTGTTGTATGTGCCGAACCTACAATGCAATTTCATATCGGTAGGTAGAGTAGCGGCGATTCACGACGTCAAATTTGGGAAGAAATGTGCGAAGGTAATTGACAACGGTAAAATTGTGCTGACAGCGAGGAGAGTGGGGAACGTGTTTCTGATCAACAACCCAAAGATGAATGTGTTTATGGCTGCAGCAACAACAAATGCAAAGAAGTGCAGAAACCGTTACGGTCGACATAGAGAGGGGAGCCCTCAGCATCAAAGATACTCGAATGGATGTACTGTTAGGTCAAATATTGTCGAGCCGTTATGAATATGGGATTCAGGGGAAGCCAAGACATGAGTATTGGTTGCAAATAAGTTAGGTATAAAAATGTAATGTGTTTACCGAAAATATGAATAAAGAATTTTTGATTTTGGTTTTTGAATGGTATCTGGGTATGTGTGTTGAGGGGAAGTGTTGAAGCTATTGAACTCGTACGTTACGTATGTTACAACACACAACCCAGAGTAACTGTGTAGAGATCGCAGAGTGCGAAACACACACTCTAGACGATCACATTCTTAGTGTTAAGTGTACCTAATTAGAATGTAAGTTGTAAATAAACACTCTGTACATAGCAACCAAACGAGCAACAAGTCTTTTATTTGAAGTGAAGAGCAGACAAGCCAGAATAAGTTCAACAGTGGAAATTTCCTGTTGGGATTTATCCCCAACCTTGGTGATTACATAAAGTTCAAAGTTCGCAGGTATGGTGTGATTATTTTTTTTCTGGCCACCCTATTATACATGAAGTGATTGCTCAATATATGGATTTGTAGTTATTGTCAATAAAATCGGAGCAATGATCAAAGTTGACCGGTTAGCAGTCGTAACATCGCCCAGGTGCTAAAAATCGACCATAAAACTGTGTTAAACCATTTACACAAAGCTGGATTCAAAAAGAAGCTCGATGTTTTCGTGCCACAACAATTAACAGAAAAAAATTGATGGATGATGAATTTCCTACGAAGCCTTGGCCAAACGGAATGAGATAGTCCCATTTCTTAAACGAATGGTAACTGGAGAAGAGAAATAGTCAAAGAGCGGTGAAGCACCTCAAACGGTGGCCAAATCAGGACTAATGGCCAAGAAGGTTCTGCTAGGCATTTGGTGGGACTGGAAGGGGTTTATTTATTATGAGTTTCTTTACTATGAGTTTCTTCCATATGGCCAAACGCTAGATTCTGATCTCTACTGTCAACAACTGGACCGTTTGAAGATAGCAATTGACCAGAAACGGTAAGAATTGGACAACAGGAGAGGTGTCGTGTTCCACCAGGACAACAATAGGCCACACACAACTACAGTGACTCGCCAGAAACTTCGGCAGCTTGGTTGGGAAGTTTTAATACATCCGCCATACAATCCGGACCTTGGCACCATTATATTATCGATTATCATATTTTTCTTGCATTGCAAAATTTCTTTAATGATAAAAAATTTGTATCTAGGGAGGATTGGAAAAATCGACTACTAAAGTTTTTAGCAAATGGAGAGCAGTGCTTCTATGAGAGAGGCA